CCACACTTCCTCGGCTGCTCGCAGGAAAAGGCCCGGAGCCGGAGCGCGTGGCAGGGAGGGTCGCCTGCACCCGTGGAAGGCAGCTCCAGGCCTTGCGCCCCACGTAAAGGCCAAAGGCCATGCAGAGGCCATATGGGTAGGGGCGGGAAGAGCGGCTCAGAAGCCCCCCCGGTCCCATCCCTGGCACCCCTCCCCGTGTGATGGAAGGCCCTGCTCTGCCCAAAAGCCCACCGGGCTGCTGCCCATCACAGGGCGGCCGTGCAGGAGGGGGCCCAGGGCCGCGTCCCGTGTTTCTGTGGGTTGCACAAGTGCGCTTCCCCCCAAAGGCCGCCTGTGCGTGCAGCCGCTGGCAAACCAGCTCTCCTTAGTCCCCAGACCCAGTCTGACTTCCATGAAACTGCATGCGCGCAGACACGTCCCCTGCTCTTTCATCTGCCCCCCCCCCCCCGTCTTGTTCTGTGAGAGGCTCTGGCAGGCGGCACGGGCAGCCTCTGATGGTGTTCGGAGCAGACCAGGGCCCCGGAGAGCGGCCGGTAGCCTTGCTGGCTGGAACGCCTCGGCTGGCTCGGGCCACAGGGAGACGGTGTCGCAGCGGGGCGCTAAAGCCGCCCAAGGCCTGACGGAGGATGGCAAGCCCTGCATTGCTGGCAGCTTGGGACTGTTAAAGGCCCCTCGGTTGTTTTTGTAGTCTGAGGGTTCTGTGTGGCTGGGGAGATAGAAGTTATCCCCGGGCCAGGCAGGACTTGAGTGGGAGATGAATTGCCCTGTCCTCGCCCTCATCCAAGTCCTCTGTGGCAGTGGGAGGGCTGGGGACTTGAGAGCCTCGTCTGTACGTTCCTGAGGGTAGAGACGGCCTTCTTCTGGTAGGGTCACGCTAGAAAGTGTCAGGATGAGACACGGATGACAAAACAGGCAGCCTGCAGCAAGAGTGGTTGCCACTGGTGGTACCCGCTCTGCTTGCCGCAAATGCGTTTTCCTTGGTGCGCTGCAGAGACAGAAGGAGCGTCCTGGGCCTGGGTAAGAGGTTCTTTGCCCCTGCACCCAGCTGCCTGGTGAGGTCGTGCTCCCGGCTCCCCCTTGCAGAGAACCCTCTTCATACCCCAACCCGGGGCTTCAGACGGCCTCCCCCACTTCTGTCTTCATGGCGGGAGGCAGAGATGAGTTCTGTTTGAAGGAGAAGTACCATGAGGTGAGTTGGGACTAAGCCGTCGTAAGACTGCCTGGTCAGATGCGAGCGTCTGAAAGCAGAACGTCTTTCTCAGCAGCCCTGGTGAGTCCAGCCCCCCCCCCCCCACACACACACACACTTGTTGGTGTAAGAGGGTCTCATGGCTCAGCTCTGGCTCTTGGATTAGGCAGAGCACCAACACGGGGATGCCGCCCCGAGGGTGGGCAGTTTAGCCACAGAGGGGCAGAGCAGGAGGAGGGAGAGCAAGAGGAGAGTTGGGGGCTGAGCGCACTGGCTGTGGGTGATGGGAATCTGGAAGCTGCCAGGTTGGAGGAGGCGGCCTTCAGGCCTGGGTGCTCCCTGCTCCAAGCTGGAGCCGCGTGCAGGCTGGTCCGGGGTCCTCGTGGTGCGTGGAAGACCGTCAGCCGCTGTCTCGGCTGCGACTCAGAGGAACACGGGCACACCGAGGCATTTCGCTCCCCCGTGCGGCTGTGCTGGACCCTGCTCAGCACCCAGGCCAAGGTCTGCACACGGCCTGCTCCGCGGCAGCAGAAGGGCCCCCCCCCCCCCCCCCCCCCCGGCCCCCCTCCCCCCCCGGCCCCCCCCCCCGCCCCCCCGGCCCCCCCCCCCCCCCCGCCGGCTGGGCTCCTTTCGCCGTTTGGCTCGCCTTCCCCAGCCCCAGCCTTCTCTTCACCAGAACAAGATCCAAAGGAGCTACCGCATACCGTCGGTTCAGAAGAGCAAAGCGAGGGAGGCGTGTTCATGAATGGGGGTGGGGGCAGCCCGGCCCTCCCCCCCCCCCACGCACTCTCGAGCATCCCACGTGTGGTGCCAACGGCCTTTATTTCAGCTAGTAGCCTGTTCCCTACAAGGAGGTCGGGGTGATCGCGTACAGGGACAAGGGCAGGCGCAAGGAGGCGGCCCACCCTCCTTCTCACAGGCCCGTACGAATTAAAGAAGGGGACAGGGACTAGGGAGGGGAGAGGAGAGGAGAATGACAGCAGGATCATAAAACAAGGACACAAATTAGCCCCCAGCCTCTCTGTCCAGCGAGTGCCTTTTGCCCTAAACAGCCCGTTACAGGAGCATCACAAAATTATATAAAGTGGGAAAAAGACAAAACAGAAACCCTAAATCCCGCAACACAGCCTCCGCTCATCCCCACACTAGTTGCACATAAAGTTAAAATCCATCTCCGATCGGCAGAAAAAAAAGTTTTCTTAAGAAAACGGACTGAAAATATAGGCCAAGCTTAACTCCCAAACAGTCCCAGCCACTGAGCTCCGCAGGAAGCCGCTGCTGCACCAGCCCCGCCGCGTGCCGGAGGCCCCGCCACTGCGCACACTTGTCCTTTCGGGCTCCGGCCATGCAGCAGGGCATCCGGGCGAGCCGCTTAGCGAGCACATGATGGAAAGTATACTGCACGTGCCACGCACGTGATGGACGTTTTGTACATCTAACAGAGAGAAAGCGACTTTGCTGGACTGCAAGGCCAACTCAGTGCAGAGCCGACGAAGGCTGCGATTCCTAAACGTGTGTATAACAAATTCAGTGAGCCTTACTCAGAGTAGACATGCATAGAATCAGGCTGCTTGAATCCAGCCCTGCAGACAAGTTATCCCTTCCTTGCCGAGGCAAAGCAACCAGGTGTGTGTGTGTCTCTCACTGTTCCACCTTCTTAAAAACAGACAGACATCCCCACGGATCGAGTTCCCACCCCCAGCCCACCACAGTTCTCGGGCCAACCGGAACGATTCGATTAGAGCAGGTTAAGCGTTGCCTCGACCCTATTCAGTTCTAGCACCATCTTGCTTAGGACCGCGTAAAAAGAAAACACCAAGCTGGCAGGCAACCTCTGAGGGTTCTTAATACTCACTTCCCTTCACAAGACTTTCCTAAACACGTGTTAAAAGCACCACTGAGGCCTTCCCTAGTGTCACGCTTCAAGGCCAGGCAACTGAGCAGCTCCTCATTAGTCTGCGTGGAATCCCACACGTGGCCAGTTGACTACTAACCATCAGAAACGGTGCCGGTCCATTTACAATTCACCTGCAGAGGAGCCGTGTCTGGCCCAGAGCTCCCTCTGCAGAGCAGTTCAGACTCCACAGCTTTCCAGGACTCCTGAATGTTCGGCAATGTTGGGGTTCGGGAAGGGGAGCTCGCAGCTTGGCTCACGGGGACCGTTTTGCTCTGCACGGCACCTCCGGAGCAGAATGGCCCCGACGAAGCGAGCGCGAAGGCAGGCGTCCGACTGGCAAAGAAAGGGTCAGGAGGTAGATGCGCGTTCGCACGTGGGGGGGACAGGAGCCCCGGTCAGGGGGCAGGCCCCACTCCCCCGGCGGCGGCCTCCGCTGCTCCCGCCGGGGCAGAGGCGCAGAAGTGCTGCAGGAGACGCTGCCGGCAGGAGAAGGCCTGGGGGCAGCGGCCGCAGGCGTAGGGCTTCTCGCCCGTGTGCGTGCGGACGTGCTTCTGCAGGTGGTGCTTCTGCATGAAGCTCTTCAGGCAGGTGGGGCACTGGTGCGGCCGCTCGCGGGTGTGGGTCCGCTGGTGCTTGGCCAGGTGGTGGCGCCGGATGAAGCGCTTGCCGCAGGCGGAGCAGCGGAAGGGGCGCTCGCCCGTGTGGGTGCGGTAGTGGTTGGTCAGCTTGCTCTTGTCCGTGAAGCTCTTCTCGCAGGCCGGGCACTGGTAGGGCCGGGCGCCCGTGTGGCTCATCTGGTGGCGCAGCAGGTGGTCCGAGCGGCCAAAGCGCCGGGGGCAGAAGCGGCACGCCAGCCGGTCCCTGCTGCCCGCCTCGCCGGGGGCCGCCTCCAGGTGGCTGCTCTGGTGGATCAGCAGGTTGACGCGGAGCCGGAAGTGCTCCTGGCACCAGGGGCAAGACCAGCCCTTCTCGTCGGTCTGGCCCGGGGAGAGCCCCCCGGCGCCCTCCTCCTGCGGCTGGCAGGCGAGGGCGTGCGCGAGGAGGCTCTCGCCCCGGGGGGGAGCGGGCAGGAGGAGCCTGTGTGGGCTGTGGCCCGGCTGGTGCTCCGGGAGGCCCAGCGGGAAGCCGACGTTCTTCCCGCACTCCGGGCAGGCGTACGGCCTCGCCTCTCCGCGCTTCTGCCACTCCGCCAGGCTGGCTTCCACGGGGCTGCTGCTCTTCAGCTCTCCGGGAAGGCTGCCCAGCCACGCGTCGGGGCCGTGGGAAGCCTGGCCCAGAGGGGCGCTCTCGCCCGGTGACTCTGCCCGCATCCGTGATTCAGGCGGCCTGGGGTCCTTCTCTCGCTTGGCTTCAGCCGGATCCTTGTCTGCTGGGTGGGCTGCAGGGAGAGGGGAACAAAACAGAAACTGAGCGCCCAGCATCCCGTCTCATGGGGTTGGCCTCCCAACCCGAGCAGAGGCGGCCTTCCCGTCCCTCCCCGCAGGGGCCACACTGCCCGGGGGCCACAGTCCAGGGCACGGGCCAGCGGGACGCCATTCAGAGATTACGCTACAATGAATAATCATCCTTCAGAAAACTCTTATTACGATGAGACATTTACACAGCAACTTCAAGAAACACCCTAAAGCCACCATGTTTCCCCAGTGATATCCAGGTCTTTGAGTCTTGCCCTGCTCTGTCTACTGAAATCTAGTCCTCCCTAAGTAATCCAAAACGAATCGATTTCTGGGAGAGAACAGAAAACCTATGACCATGGCCACCTGGCATAAAAGGATTGGGTGGAGGGGAAGGGCACAGGCTAACAATCTGCATCAGACGTTCCAAGCCAGCTCCACTGCCCTGGGCGCCAATTCACGTGCCGAGAACCCTGGATTTTCCAGGCTGATGTTCCGGGGAGCTGCGCATCAACTTCCAAGCACCTGTCGAGCCTTGTTGAGGGTGTTTCGAGTGCGGTCGCGCAATCAGAAGGGCAAGGCACTTGCATCTCCCTTTCCCCGAGATTTCCAGCTTCTCGGGATGCTGTCCTGAATCCAGTGCCCCCCACCCGCCTTGCCAATGGGCCAGATCGTCACATGGCACTCCCACCCGTGGTTCTCAGGCAGAGCCATGAGACCTGGAAACGTCACCTGCCAGGTTCTCAACGGACCTGTCTTCGCAGGACCCAACGTGTGTGCAGCGGCTACCATGAAGACACCCAGACCCCACAGGATCAACACCTGGACAGCTTCCTCCCTCACCCCACAAGCCTAACACAAATGCCAGATACCATTAAGCAATTCCACGTTGCTACTTGGGATAAGAGGACTGCTGGACTGAATTAGGAAGGGAAGGATGAAAAAGAACCAACTGTGATGAAACAGCACGAGGCGAATGCTTTCCTAGCAGGTTATAGAAACATAGAAACAGAGCGAGTCAGAAGGGGTCTCCCGGGCCATCTAGTCTGACCTCCAGCACCAGCCGGCTCTGCTCACAACATGCCCACCATGTGGACGTCCAGCCTGTCCTTGAACACCCGCACCGACGGGGCCTCAACCACCTCCCAGGGAAGCCCATTCCACACCCTCGGGGTCCCGACTGTCAGGAAGTGCTTCCTGGCATCCAAATTGAACCTTGGCTCCCTGAGCTTTGCTCCGTTGGAGCACGTCCTGCTTTCCTCTGCAGGGGAGAACAGGCCTCTACCCATCTTAATAGCTATTAATCGACAGTTATTAAGCTATTCTGAAAGAAAGGCTGCTGAAGGGTGCCCCAGCTGCCCCCACCCCCTTTCCCCACTCCCACTGCAAAGCCTGGGAACCAACTTATGGGTTCCCAGGCTTTGCATGGCTTCCGTTCCATTCCAAAAGGCCGACATCCCTCTCTGAGCTTTAAAGCAACTTATGCTGGTGTTTCTGGTCTCCACCTTTGGCCCTGACCACCCTGGAAAGGTGGTCTCCAAGAGCCGCTCAGATCCTGGCAAGTGGCCCCCGGGCCAAGAGAAGTTCAGCTCTCCTGCTCTAAACCAACACTTGCAGCTCATTCCTAAGCTGAAAAAGAACAGCAAAGGCCCAGGATGTGGGAAAGCCTGATTCTCCAGAGTAGCCCAATAAGACTATTTCTACGTCATGCAACTTTCTCTTTCCTTTTCGCTGGGCGATTTTGGATATTGCCCAGTTTTGTCTGACTTTGGCTCATTCACACGCAGCCGGGAGTGGAGGCGAAATTGTGAATCTCTATTTTGTTGCATAGAAAATCAATTTGGATGCTGTGCTCCGCTTTATTGTACGACCATCCCGAGATCTCGGTAGTGGACACTATATAAAATGTTTAAATAAACAAACAGCTAAACAGTCAAGTTTGCAGGCAATACGGGTTCTTTGGGATGGTGCAATCCAGTAGCCCCCTCTAGCCTGGGTGCCTGGGAAGAGAGGGCAGACGAGGCCTTGCGTTGCTCAAGGTGCTTCAGAATTACTGGTGACGCATGCGCCCCTTGAAGAAGTATGAGGGGAAGGAAGAGGGTGCTGGAAGACCTGCAGGTGGTCCGAAGGCCATGCCGTTACCCACCATGGCGAGGCGAGATGGGCGACCTTCGCGTGAGAGCAAGGTGGCCGACCGACAAGACCAGTCATAAAAATGAGGTGGCGTCTTTAGTTTGACGGCCAAATCTTGGGCATCTACGTTCCCGCCAACTTGTGGCGAGGGCTGGGAGGGCGCAGTCTCAGCCGGAGACTTGGACAAACAGCTGGAGCGGAGAAAGGCAGAAAAGGTGCCACCATTTGTGAAAAGCCACATAGGACATCAAAGCCGCAATCCTCGTGCCCCATGGAGCTCTTCTCCGTTCCCTTCCGATTTTTAGCCTTCTCCAGACTCTGCTAACTTCAGGACCTTGTTCCATAACCATGTAGACCAGAATACTTTTCGAAATTAAGAGAAGCCAAAATCTCCAGGTTCAACATTGGGTGAAGGCGACGCACGCGACCGCACCGTTTGGCTGCATGGCTCTGCTACCGAGTTGCTTGTTAACCGTTGCCCTAACGACGCTCATTTGCATGTTTTGCCACAACTGTACTTCTTCCAGCATCAAGAAGGCGCGACAGCAGGGATCCCTGCCTCAGCGCAGGCCATGTCAGGCACACGGGCGAGAGGCCCGTCAGACGTGTCTGGGCACCCAGGAACGCCTCCTCCACGCTCCCTCGAAGGGGCAGAGGCCCAGGTGTTGGGTGTGTGCGGGTGTGTCGGGGGCAGATATTGCCGTTCGCATTTTCTGCCTCAGGAGTAATAATGATGTCTTCAGCCGGTCCCATTGCACATACTCTTCCTAGTTTCAAATTGTGTCCATACCGCACTGTAATCGACAACTTGCTAGTATCTCTGCTCACGCGTGCACGCCGACAGCTAGACCAGACGCCTCGCCACGGCCAGGGCATGCTTCCCAGTGATCGCAGGCACAATTTTCAAGCATCAGCCCAGCGAACGGCGCTCCTCCCCCTTTCACTAAAAAGCAGAGCTCCTGGCTCCTCCTTGCCCGGACGATTTCCACGGGAAGAGGCTGAGGAGCACACAGGACAGCCCAGGAGTCAGCAGCTCTGTGGAGAGAACGAGGCCCAGGCGAGGGTGCTCGCCGGACCAATAGCTGGCGTCCTCAACCGAGTGTCTTCCAGGTGTGCTGGGACCTCACCTCCCAGCACCCTCAGCCAGAAGATGACCGAGATGCCCTCTCTGGAAGACCAGGCGCCCAAAGCAGCTGCGGTGGACTTGCTCCTGAACTGGCAGGACCCTGGCTTCGTAGCTGGGGAAAACCAGGTTGGCGGCCCCGTCTCCCCCAGGCTAACAAGCCAGTCCATGACTGGACAGGTCACAGGGCCTCGAGCCCAACTGCAGCCTGGACGGCTCGGTCAGGCATGAGCCACATTTCGGTTTTCCCCAGCATCTCCATTACAGCAGACATCAGAGAAAAACGGAACAGGTGATCGAATCTACCTTGGTGCATTTTCAGCCGACAGTCAAGACCCCTGTATTTGACTAGGATTGCAATGCCACGTGTGCTAGCCTAGATTTTACACTTTGTGAAGGAATCTGTTTTTATTGTCGGAGGCCTGCCTTGAAAGGAAAACGGTGGTGCATGTTTCTGCAAAGGATCAAGCCTCTATTCTCCAGGTACTCAACGGGACCTTTGACGCAACTGTACAGGTATGGTGTAGGACAGCTCTGTGGCCATGCAGAAGGCTCCAGGCTCCCCCAGCCAGATGCTCCCCAGATTAACTGGCATTGTTGAGGGCTGGAGACAAGGGCAGCCATATCCAAAGCATCCAGAGGACTTCAGGCAGGCGAGTCTGCATGAGACACCGGTGCCCTTGAAAGAGGACTGGGCACTACGGGGTGGCGAGCAGCTCACCAAAAGCTCCCCCGGAATTATTTTTCAGTATAGGAAGCTAGTGCCAGTGCTTCCGAAAGGCCAGTGTCAATGAGAAGAGCACACAGACGGGTTTTTAAAAACATGCCTGGTCGTGCAGAGCGGTTGAGGCAAGTCAGAGGCGTGACACAGGCCAGCCATCAAAAGCATCAGGGCACATTTGCATTTAAGGCCTGCAGCCGTTTCTGCAGAAGGGCAAAAGCACGTGGCAACAGGGACACCTTAGCAGGAAACGGAGCCGGTGCCCCTTCCACTTCCCACTGGCAGACGGGAAGCCCTCGGCTGGGCCTCGCTGTCTGTTGCTGCGACAGGCGTATTCGCGAACAAGCAGAAAACCTTTTCCTAACAGCATTACAAAGCCATAATCATTCTGCCAACACGACGACACATTTCACACATGTGCACGCAAACGTTTCATTTCTACCAAAAAATTAACCAGAACACGGATCTATTTTTTCACATCTCTAGTTTATTTTTTAGTTTCCACAAAACAAAAAAAAAATCTTTTCTCCAGAAAATATATATAAAAGTGTTCCGTTCTGACAAATCTGTGTTTACAGAAAGGTGAAAGGGTGCACCATCTCTGGACCAACAGTCATCTGTCTTGAGCATCTGAAGTGAAAATATTCTGGTAACGGGGCTACACTGGGAAGGGACAGCTACAGCATCGTACACTCCAAACAAGACAGAAAAAGAACAATTCCAGAAGTGTTTTGTTACTACCACTCCATTGTTTTAGCAACTCCGAACAATCGCTAGACACCCTTTAAAAAAAAAAAATCAAATTGCTATTAAGTACCAGAGTCTACGGGGCCCCCACTTCGTGGCCGGGGGGGGGGCTCCCCAATGCCTTGAGGGTCCATTTCTGAGGTAACCGTCTATCTTCCCCGCCCCACGCCCGCCCCCCGGGGGGAGCCGGCAGGCGGGGGCTAGATGAATATGGCGTCCAGCAGGGCCTCCCGCACCGCCGTGCCCATCAGGCGGTTCTGCTCGCGCAGGTGGATCTTCTGGTGCTGCAGGAGGTGCTGCTTCTGGGTGAAGCTCTTCCCGCACTCCCCGCACTGGTAGGGCCGCTCGCCCGTGTGGATGCGCTGGTGCCGGACCAGGTCCGAGGGGTGGCTGAAGCTCTTGCCGCAGTACAGGCAGGCCAGCGAGCTGCCGCCCCGGCCCGAGTGCAGCCGCTGGTGGGTGACCAGGCCCTTCTTGTGCGAGAAGCTCTCGGGGCAGCGGCTGCACTCGTAGGGCCGCTCCCGGCCGTGGCCCTTCGGGTGCTGCCGGTAGGAGGACTTGAGGTTGAAGGTCTTCACGCACTTGGTGCCGCCGTACGGCTTGTCCCCCGTCGGCACGCGCGGGAGCGACTTGAGGTTGTGGCTCTGCTTGAAGGTCTCCTCGCAGGCCACGGACGTGTAGGCCCCGCCGCCCGTGCGGATGCGCTGGTGCAGCGTGAACTGCTGCTTGTAGGTGAAGCTCTTCTCGCACTGGGGCCGGAAGCCGCCCGCCGCGGCGTGGCCCTGCTGGTGCAGCACGAGGCTCTTCTGCAGCCGGAAGCCCTTCCCGCACTCGGGGCACACGAGCAGTTTCTCGTCCGGGCGGTCGCGCTGGCAGGCTGCCGCGGGGCCGCCGCCGCCCAAGCCACCCTCTCCCGCCACGGCCTCTCCCGCCGGGCTCTCCGCGTGCCTCCGCTGCGGCACCAGGGCGCCGTACCGGCTCCCGAGGGCGGCCCCTGCGTGGGGCCCGTGGAGGGCGGCTTCGTCCGTGCACTGCAGTCCCAGGCTTTCGCACAGGGCCCTCTGGGCCTGCAGGACCTCCGCTTTGAAGGCGAGCCCATCACCTGCTGGAGGCAAAGAGAGGGTGTCTGCGTGCTTCTCGCGGAATCCTGCCAGGCGAGCGCCCGCTGCCCACCCGCCGGCGCGGATGGCCGCTGAGGGAGGCCAGAGGACCGCGCGGCCGCCGGAGGCCCCGGGGCCTTCGCACAGCAGGCACCGCACTCCTGCCCGACTGCTGCGCGAGGCACTCGCCCGCCCGCCCGCCGGGACCACGGTGGCCTCTTCTCCCCGGCCGGGAGGGAATGCCCGCGAGCCGAGCCGCACGGCGACTCTGCTCGGCGCAGTCTGGCTGCGCGACTGTGGCCAAAGTGCCTCCCGTCTCCTCCCGGCGTTCAGCCCAGAGCCCACGTGGGGAGCTGGTGGGGCCACCGCGCCTGTCACGCAGTGCCGTCTCCGAAATGCCGTTCGCCGCCCACAGCGACACAATGCACGCGTGCGGCTGGGTATTCACGGCTCCCCCTCGATTCCTCCCTGGGGCCCTGCGTCTCCGGACCTCGCTGGTGTCAGAGCTTGGTTGAAAAAGGTCTGTCTGTCTCTAAGGCACACTCAGAGGATCTCTCCTGCCCGGCTCGGTTCCGACTGCAACCTCCCGCGAGCGTCCCCCTCCCCTCCTCGGGGGCCGGAGGGCGAAGGGCTGCCGGCCACCCCCACCCCCCCATGGTCTGGGGCCATTTACTCAAGTGACGGAGAGCGGGAAGAGCAAAGGAAAGGCGGGGAAGCACGACCGGCATCCGCCCCGCCCAGCAGCGACGGCAGCTAGGCCAGGGCAGGAAGCGAGTGCGAAAGGGGAACAGGCAGTAGCTAGGTCTTACATGAAGGGCTCGTGCTCGCTCGGCGTCTCCTCTCAGCCTCGCCAGCCAGCTCTGCATCTGTCCGGCCCATTTCTTTGTCCAGGTGGGCTCTAACACAGCCTCTCCCCCTCTGCACGTTCAGAACCTCAGAGCCCTCCGAGCCGCGGGGCAACCCCGGAGGGAGGGGCCGGGGGCACCCTCCGCGCCCAGCTCTGCCCCCGGGAGCCGCTCTGCACGGGCCACGCGCTCGCCCGGATCTCCTCCGCTACACGAACGCGCCCCCGTTTCCGGGCGCCGGCTCTCCTTCGTCCTTTGCTAGCCAAACTGGGCACACACATTTCCCTTCTGCTTGACAAATGGCCAGTTCTGGAGGCAGCGCAGGTGGCCCCACCCAGCACCAGGCGGGCAGGATGAGGCCAGCCAAATCGTGTTGAGAAGTTACTCTGCGTTTGCTTTCCTGGCAACACAGTTGTGTTTGCGCGCGGCACTTTTTGATTGCGAACTGTGCTGAGGACGTAGGAGGAGACTGTGGGGAAGGGGTTAAACTCCAGTACCTGCATCCCAGAACACAGAGAGGGCGGGAGGGAGGGAAAGCAAGGCCGGTCCCTGGCTCAGGATTTGCCGATCCCGCAAGCATCACGGGCATTCAGGGATCTGCATGAGACTGCGCGCGAAGTGCTGAACCCGGAGGATCCAAGATACTTGGGTTCGCGTCCCCGCTTAGCCCCCGGCACTCGCAGGCCGACAGCAGGCCACCCGCTCGCAGCCGCATTCCCAGCCAGAAATCGGGGAGAGCCGCTGCAGGAACGGCGAGACGAGCCGCGCGTAACTCTTGGCACACTCGGGGCCCCCAGGGAGGCTCCGACGGCTGACACGGGGCCCAGCAGAGAGGCCCAGCGGTCGGCCCCGGAGCCCACGCCGCCGCGGCTTCCCCTCGCCAGCCGCTAGGCACGCGCTCACTCCTCCTCCGTTCAGAGCCAGCCTGTGAGCACAAACCACGGATGCGGACTTTTGGTGGCCTCAGGGATGCCGGCCAAGATCCCCCCAACCCGCGTGGGGCCGAGGAAGACTCCCAGGGGAGGGGCGCCCTGGCCTGGCAGCATCGCGGCTTGTCCCTCCCCCGGCCAACAAGAGCCCCTTTTCCTTCGCGTGGACTGGCCGGCCCAGATGGCCGCACAGGGCTTGTCGCCTAGCGCCCGCGCACTGCGGGGCACGCCAAGAAGCCGCTGCCTGTGCGCACCTGCGCCTGCACACGCCCCCCCCCCCACCACCTGCCCGGAGTGCGAGCCCAGAAACCCTCCCCCGCCTGGGTTTTAACAGACCATCGTTTTGCAGCTGGAACCCCGGGCCAGGGCACCTCCAGCCTTGCGCCTGCCTCCTGCACGCCAAGTGACACTCGGGCAGCTGGGAAGCCGTGGGGCAAGCCGGAGACCCTACACATGAGCAGAGCAGTCAAGCGGCCGAGGGCGAGTGTGACAAGCCTCTGGGCAGAGCAGCTCAGCCCGGGGTCCCTCCACGGCCGTGCCGAAAGCAGCAGGGGGGCACAGCGCGGCCTATTTCAGCCGGCCGTCCAGAAGGCGCGCGTTGCAGCAGAATGCAGAGCAAGGGCGGCCGGCAGCGGCAGCAGCAGCAGCCTGCATGGACCGGAGGGCCTCCGGCCAGCAGAGGGCAACGAACGAACGGGCTGAGGCAGCCTCACCGGAAGGGGGCCGGCCTGGCTCAGGCCCCGGAAGCGCTGGTCCAGGGGTGGGGCTTGGGACTGCGGCGTCTGGGGAGGACGGCACCACGGAACAGAGGCTGCAACCCACGGGAGGGCTGGGGGGGGAGGCAGTGTGGGGCTTCCTGACTCGAACTGTTTCCTGCTGACCGACATGCCCAGGGCCGTTTGCCCTGAAATGCCCGCCAAGCCTGACAGGGCCGCCTTTCCCAGAGGGCCAAGCCAGGGCCCCGCGCGTGCACATGGCCGCCCCTTCCCCCAGGCACAGGGAGGCAGCGAGAAGGCGGCTGGCTTGTCGGTCCCGGGAACAGGCGTGGGACGCGGAGAGAGGCCGGCCTCACTCGGTGCCACGAGGCGGGGAGAGGTTCTGCCCGGGTCGCCGCGGGTCCGGGCAGAGTGGCTGCCGCACGGGTGATCCGACCGATGCCCCTCCGCTCCTCCACGCACGCGCCGGGCCCGCCACTCACCCGCACTGGGCTTGATGCGCAGCTGCCCTTCCGCCGAGCCCTCCGGGTCCTCCAGGTTCACCTCCTGGTCCCGCTTCGCCTGGGAGCCAAAGGAGGACTCGGCGACTCCATAGTCTGTTCGAGAAGCAGAGAGTGAGGAGGCGGCTCCCCTCGGGCCCTCCCGCCTCTGCAGGGTCCCGGGAGCCACTGGGCAGGGCGCTCCGTGCTCCGCCAAGGCGGCGGCCGTCCCCCACGCTGCGGGGGGAGAAGGGCCCTCGGCGGAGCGCCTCACCCACTCTGGCTCCGCAGCGTCACACGAGAGACGACGAACCGATGACGCCCCTCCCCGTACCTTCGAGCAATTACACAAGCTGCACGTTCAGTGCATACCTGAGGGTACTCATGTTCACTAGGGTTAAAAAGCTTCCCCGGCTCCTGCTGCTGCTCAGAACATGGTCATGGTAAAAATGCAACATTTGAGGAAGAGGCAAAGACGACTCAGCACAGGACAGTCCCTTTGCAGAAAGACGCTTAACTCTATAAATGCTGATGGACCGGCCAAACCAACGAAACACTAGAATCCTCGACTCACCGAAACTGGGATCGCTCGGGGCAGCCCGCCCATCGGCTTCCTCCTGGTTCCCCACAGCCTGCACGGTTTCTCCTCTTTCCATCTGGGAGGCCAGGCCTGGCCTGAAAACCAGCACTTCTGTTTGGGAGACATAAGCAAAAGGGTGTCTCACCCCAACGGCCTGCTACGCTCTGCTCCCGTTTAACCCGGATGCAAGTTGCACAGCAGCGCCAAGCTGCGCTTACATTTTGCTTTGCTCCGACAGTAACATCAGGCATCCCATTCCACACCAGCAGCACAGAGACCGCTTTTGTTCAAGGGTGCCTCCTTCCTGGTCTCAGAAACCCGCCCCCAAGGTGACCGTCAGTTTCTCCGGGAATGGAAAAGCTTACAGATCGCTTCAGGAAAGGCAGGTCTTCTGCATATTTTGAGGGCGGGTTAGGAGACAGAGCACCGCACTCCAGGTTGGAGGGAAAGGTAAGAGTGTCCACCATTATTCGGCAACACTTTCAGGTCAAAGACTTTCCATCTGCTTCTTACCAGGGCTTGGTTCCGAACAAATCTCTCGGTCCTTGGAAACTTCCTCCTCCTCCTCTTCACAGGGATGTTCTCCTTGCTCAATCCGGGACAGAAGGTCTGGTTTAGCAATTGCATAGTCTGTGGAAGAAGATCATTCATTGCAGTGAATAAAAAAGACTTGTGTTAATATGATAGGACGAAATCGCACCAGCACTGCTATAAATAAATACCAGACAGTGGGATTCTTTACATCCCTAAAGCAAACCTTTTGGCCTGATGCACACAATGCCCAGTGGGACAAGAACCGGGGCTTCCTAGGGCAGACAGACTATTTTAGCTTCACTCTGCCGTAGTGTTTATGATGCGCAGCATGTTGAAACACCGCACGCGCCAGGCAAAACGGGGGGAAAAGTGATGTTTGTGCACATGTAACTGTATATTGGTCATTCTTCTGATTTTACAAAAATAAGTATCAGCTACACAGTGACAGTAACAATATGCTTTGTATCAATTTGTGGGACAAATGGGCAAGTCCAGCATCAACGTAAATTTATAATATAAGCTTATCTATCAATGCGACCATCTCCACAGCCTCTGAAGCTGCTGAGTAAGAGCAGGTGCACTCCAGCCTCTCCACCCTACCTACCAATTTGGAAAAATTTAATGTTTATATTTTGATGTATAATTATTTTAACTTATTGTTGTAAGCCGCCCCGAGGCTTCGGCGAATGGGGCGGCATAAAAATGTTTTGATAGATAGATAGATAGATAGATAGATAGATAGATAGAAGTTTCCATATCTTTAGCAACATGCTGCTGCTCTACTCCAAAATCTAGGTAGGCCCAGAATGCACGCCATCGCGTCACCTGGCTGCCATTTCTAATCCCTGTTTCCTTCTGATGCTGCAGGTGCAATGCCATCAAGTTCCACCCAGCCTTCTCACACAACCATCGGGGTTTTGCTTCTACATGCTCAAACAGCGAGAGAGGACAGCTCTTCTGGACCTCTTTCCAGCACTAATGCTACCATTTAAGAGGAGTTGGGCTGCTCTGCCGGTAACATTGTTTGCTTTATTGATTTATTATTGTCTGTTTTTTTCACCTGTTTGGGTTTTTTTCTTTTTTTTTGGGCACCCCTTGGGATGGAAGGACTAGCGTTAAAAAAATCACAGTCACTAAATAACCTCACGGAGTCCCCTTCCTGCCTGAAACTCAGTGGCGTGGAGTGGCCTTGCCAGGTCACCCTGCTCCGTGAGGGCTCTTTTACAAGCCTGGGACATCGGAAGAGCACGGCGGCACCTATGTGAAATGATCCCCATCGGTAAGGGGCACATGATGCGGCGATCCAGGAAGCTGTTTAAGAGGTACCTGAGAGGGCACCTTCTGTCCAGTCGCCTGAGGCCCACTTAGAATCCGCCCAGGTGAGAGCTTTTCACACACTGGCTTACTTTCTGCGGAATCCCCTGCCATCCGATATCAAAAAGGCATAAGGGTTGTTTTGCTCTAGACATCTGTTAATGACATTTTAATTTAGAAAAGCTTTTCTGGAACAAACACCTATGATTCAGTTGACAACCCTTGATTTTTATATAGATTTCTTATGCATTTTACCTTCCTTTACCGCTTGGGGTATTTTTTAAGGTGTTAAGGAGTTCCTCTGTTTTGCAAATGGATGAGCTACGGTGGGGCCAAACTGTTCAGAGGACAAGAAGCCAATAAACAGGCCAACTGGATTAGGCGCAACGGGAAAACGGCTGACCGTGCTGCCGTGACCTGCATGCCGCCACCTCAGGGGGGGCGCCCCAGAACCCCGGGAATGCCAAGGGAGCATTTCAGGCGTCCGCTGAGGTACGGCCTGAATCACACGCTAAGCACTGAGCCCAGCAGCGGACCAGCCGGCTCGGCCGAGGCAGGGGCCCCATCGTTACCCAGGGAGACCAGCGACTCGTAGTTGCTCTTCATCACGTTCTTGTACAGCTCCTTCTGCCACTCCTCCAGGTTCCCCCACTCCTGCTCGGAGAAGTAGACGGAGTTGTCCTCAAAAGCCACGGGCACCTGGAAGCAGAGCAGCCACAGCATGAGCCTCGCTGGACGGACGCGGCTGTGCGGCGGGGTCCCGTCCTACGCCGGAGCCGGCACCCCGTCCTCCTCGTCGCGAGCGAGGGGGAGCCGGTGATCTGGGAGGAGTCATCCTGACTCTCCCCCAACACGCAGGCTCGCCAGCCATGTCTTGCGCCCCCCACGCCCCCTGGACAAAACGAGCGGCGAAATCTGACCACATGCCAGCAAGCGCCAACACAACAGCCCAAAAGCCATTAGCCAGGGCACACAGCAGAGGAGACGGGTCGACAGAGAGGGCAAAACTGACCTTGGCTTGTCCCGCCCCTCGCCCCGAGAGCGCCACCTTTCCGCTCCTGTGCAAAATCCCCTCCCTGCAAGTGCCAACGGCACGCATCTCCCCTCCGCTCTGCCTCCTCTCCCCCTCCTTCGGGGGCTTCCCTACATCCACTGTGATGGGAAGGTCCTCAGGGGAGAGGCCTGCTTTACTCTGCAAATGCTAGTAAAGGCTAGAAATGATATTATCGCTGGTGGAGAAACTATCCAAAGACGGACGTGGCGTTCCAGCTCACAGCAGCCCATCTGCTGGGAAAACACGCTGCAAGCACTGGCCCTCCCTGAACAGGGGCTTCCCCGACAGGAGGCACCCGGCAGCCTGAGCCCAGTGAAAGCTCCAGGAGGAGCCGATCTGGAGGGAGAAGAACCGAGTGCCTTTCTCTGCCAACATGCACCACACGGCCCGGGACTGCCGCTCGGCACCCTACCTGCTACCACCCTAATTAGGAAGGGTCCAGAGGAGGGCAACAAAAACGATCCAGGGATTGGAAACACTGCCCTTTGCGAAGAGACTGAGAGAACTGGGCATGTTCAGCCTTGGGAAGAGAAGGCTGAGGGGGATAGGATATCCCTCCATAGGTAGCTCAAGGGCTGCCACGAAGGGGAAGGTCAAGATCTCTCCTCTCTGATACCAGAGTGTAGAACTCAGAATAATCAAGTCGAGGTGTGACAAGCCAGATTCAGGCTAGACACCAGGGAAAGGTTCCTCACTTACTGTCAGAGCAACACTGCAGTGGGACCAGCTGCCTGGAGAGGTGGGGGGCTCTCCCACACCGGAGGCATTCCAAAAGAGGCTGGACAGCCCTCTGAGTGGGACGGTGTAAACAGATGTCCTGCAACAGCAGGGGGTGGACCTGATGGCCTTCAGGGCACCTTCCAGCTCTGCTATTCTATGATTCTATACAACCCTCTCCCACAGTTCAGCCAGGTGCATTCTGAACAAAGCAGCTAGTTATTTGAGCATAACCTGGATTCCCAATGACTGCTTTTAAAGCAAAGTTTCTAGTCCTTGTAGGCATGTATTTCATAAAATAAAGGCAGCACACAGCAAAACACCATGGGCTCCCTGGGGCAGCTTTGTCACTGAAAATGTCTGCTTGTTGCTCCTGCTCTTTCCTTGCCAAGCTTCTGAAAATTCTACAAAACCTTAAATTCAAAGAGTAACTTGCACCGGTAATCCTGAGGACAGAAGCAGAGCTGTCTTGATACTCAACTAGCAAGCCTGTGAGACCCAAGGAAGATTCCTTATCTATGCAGGGCTGATCTACCAGTCAGGAGTATGAAACCCAGTGCCTTCCAGTCCTGTACACTACAATTCCCACACTCCCTAGCCCCTGCCATGTCTACATGCAGAGAAGGGCAACGGAAATGATCAAGAGTTTGGAGTAAATCCCCTATGAAGAATTATTACAACTCAGACTGCTTAGCTCACAAAAAAGGTGAACAAGAGGAGACAAGATAAAGGTGCTCACAATTATGCACGATGTGAAGAAAATGGAGGCAGCCGTTTTCCTTCCCCTCCCTCAAACCTAGAACCCAAAGGGGCCATCCCACGAAGCAGAGTGGTGGAGATGCAGGGCAGGGAAAAGGAATACTCCACCATGCAGGGCAGTGTTGAACCGCAGAGTTCACTGCCACAGGAGGTTGTGATGGCTGCCAATCTGGATGGCTTTGAAAGGACACGTTTACAGAAGAGGCGGCTGCCAATGGCTACTAGCCTTTACCCAGACCGCACCTCCATTAGCAGAGTACGCCTGGAAATGCAAGCATTTGCTGCTGAGGAGCTCCGAGAGGTGGAACTCTGGTACCCATCCTGCTGCTAGGATACCGTGAGCAGCTGGTCTCCCGCCGCGTGCAAGGGGTGCTGGCCTGGGCGGGCGGACCCTGGGTCAGGACCGCTCTGACATTCTCACCAGGATGCCTGGCAGGCCTTCAGCACGAGAAACGGAACACGTCCTGTACTGCTTCCTCCTCGGGCGAAGCCAGTGATCCCAGCTGGTGCCATGCCACGGTTTCAGGTCACCAATGGCTTCTGAACCCCAGCGGGGATCAGAAGACGGGCACTGCAGGCCCTTCTCAAGGACGCTCAGTCCACTGCCATCCACCTCCAGGCTGAGCCACTGACCCTGCTGGCTAAGAGCCTGGCTTCATCTCCAGCCGGAGGTGCAGCTGGCTGGCCCGAACTGCAGCAAGGCTGCTCCCCTTTCGGCCCCCGCCCAGATGGCTTTATTCATCCGTGCCTCTGGGCCCGTCCTGGCTTTTCATTTCCCCTCAAAGGGGAGCAGTGCTGTCGGTTAGCATCTTATTACGGCAGTGGGACTGTCGGTACCGCTCTTTTCACCCAGGAAGGCTGGGCGAAGTTCTTGCCAAGGCTAACCAGACAAGGTTTCCCTGGCGTCCAGAGCCTGGGGACCCCCTTAGGTGAACAGAAAGAAACGTCTTCTATTGATCTCAAGGGGCGGTCTTGCATTTCCCCACTGCCACTGTGCACCATCCGAACGGGCAGCCCTGCAGGATCTCTCTGGGTTACGGGAGTGATGGGCTGCCTCCTTTGGCTAAAGGACCACACACAGTTTTGGGTAGGTTTCACGAGCTACATTCCAGTAGCGGCCAGAGCCACAGGCAAGAGTGATAATGCCAAAAATACCAATATAAAATATACCAGCGCATTGCGCTCTAGAGTCCTGCCTGCCTACAACTTAGCTTTAAGAGAAGCATGTCAACATTTAAGGATGCTGGTGAGGCCGGACTGCACGAAAGCTGGGAAATCACCAGTGATACATGGTTGGGAAAAAGAGGAGGACTAAGCAGAGCCATTGAGAGAGCCCCCCCACCCCCGGCAAAAATGAGATCCCCACATCTGAGGTTCCTCTTCTCAGTCTTAAGCAAACACTCATCTATAAACACACTGTACCACTTCCAAATCAACATCTATTGCAGCCGGAAAACAAGGAAGATGATCCTGGAAATTCTGGTCTGAAGTATTATTTAAATAAAAATATGGTTTAAATCAATGCAAACACTTAACATGACAGTCTGAAAAATATCACAAGTACGATGCAGCAAGAATCAAGCCTCAGCAAACTTCTTAACTCTGGTGTTTCACAATGCCAGACTCACTAATCAAGCCAGGAAAGTCACTACTATAGTTTTATACAGAAACAACACGGTCCACATCCCCGCTCCAGTGAGAGTTCCCCTCCTTTGCCAGTCCTTCATCAGTTCACGGGTAAATCTCCACCAAAACGGAGGCAAGCACAGGCCTTCCAGGCTGAAGAGTTATTCGTGCCCTACACAATGCAATTAAAAGCCTGGAGGTATGGGGCAAGTGCTCTTACCTTGGGAGTCTCCCCCTTAGAGCCCGGGGGCAGCCGGAGGATCCAGAAGTTCTGATTCTTCAGCAGGTTCTCCATGTTCTCCAGCCGCCGCTGCAGCAGCCCGTACTCCTGGATGAGGGTGCCCAGCGCAGTCAGCTTGCACTCCATTTGATTGCCAAAGTCCACCACCGCATTCTCACAGTCCACGTATTTCTTCTCATTGGTCATCATCCTCCGCTCCAGGTTAAGCAGCCGTGTGGCATGAGAGTCCACCTTTCTCTCCACGGCTTGGATCGCTGCCACCACGGTCCAGAGAGAGAGCTCAGCCATGTTCTGCTTGGCATCCCGCACAAAACTCTGCTCGGGCAGCAAAGGCACTGGCTGCCGGGGCTCCATGTCGCAACACTGACCCTGCTTACCGGGGAGAGAGGAATGGCCAGTAAGGCCCAGGACACAAGTACATTTCCCATGACTAATAAGAACAAGATACTACGTGTTCACCACTATCTTTATGAGCCACCTTGAGCCTCCAAATATATTCTCAGAACTGGACCTCACATACCCTTGACATCTTTCCCAGAGACAATTGAGGTAGTCTCTGCGGTGAAAACCTTTAGTACACCAGCCTTAAGAGGGGACATTTCTTCACACAGATATACTTCTCAGTACACAGTTATATAAATGTCCAGAAAATAAAAGACAACTTTGTTTGGGGGTACCACTAAGGGCTCATCTGCAGGTGAGGTGCAGCAGCTACATCTCACTCAGCCCACAGAGCAACCATACTAGTTAATTTGAACTCCAGGGAGGAAAAGCTCAGACCAGGCTCATTCACAAATTATGATTATCTACATGCGCTCTCACATAAATAAAAATTAGTGAAAATTTCACGTCTTAACTAGGATACAATACTCTGTCTGTATGCCACTTGATGACAAGATTTTCTAAAAAGCAGTAAATCCATAAACACCCACCCACAGACCAGGAAAATTACCAGTAGCTTCACTCAGATAAGCAATTAACATCGAATTACAAGACCATACATATCCCAGTGACTTTCCTACACACATGAGCAGAACTGAGCCGAAGTGGGACATCATCATCACCAAGGTGCCCAAAAACCCAATGCACAAAGAAGGCTTGTTGACTTCTGCCACATCCCCCATATGGGTCATTCCCAATTAGCATGACAGAAAGTTCCTGAAACTGCCTTATATACAACCAGACCACCAGTATGGTCTGCATCACAGGCTTTCAGTATTTCAGCCTTCCACAAACTGATGGCTTCCACATGTGCTGGAACACAACTTCAAGCATTTGTCTCCTGACCCAGGGATGGATCTTCGCAACGACACACCATTTCCGTGTTAATATTGTTCTTGTTAGGGATTTTATGCGTCTTTAAGAGCAGAAGGACAAGATGAAAAGAGACTTGGAAACAGATGCAAAGCCACCAAAGCCCCTTTACCTGAAATAGTTCAAGAAGAGATAATTTCAGCAGGAGCGGCTTTCCTCAATGTTGCATGACAGTGGCAACTGCTACACTTCTCCCTTCTATACAACTTGGCTGCATCTAAGGAAGAGATGAGGGAGTGAGGTCCATTCCATCATCCTGGCTGAGGAAACCTGCCACTGGGTTTTCTCTTGGCTATTCCACCTGTTCGTTACACCAAGGAGATAACAGGTAAAGAACTCATACCTGACTTTACCTTCTCGCCAATTTTCCTCTCATATTCTGCTTATTAGGATACATGCCATCATTTTAAATTAAAAACTCCCTAAACATATTAATACTATACATACTTGAGGGATTAATGACTGCCAGGGGCCCCAGTCTCTCTCCCTCAGGCCTTGCACGGACAAGGAGGGAGGTGGGGCGCTTGGGGGAGGCAAGGCACGGCAGGCCCCATCCCCTCCTGCAGGCTTGGCTCGGGGGGCCGGACGCCTGAAGGCTCCCGGCGCCGCCGCCGTCCCGCGGCCCCGCCACCCGGGACCCCTTTGCCCCGAGGACGCGGGTAGCCGCGCGGGGGGCCCCGGGCGCCCGCGGGGGATGCCGGCTCTCCGGGACGCCCCGCACAAAGGGCAGCCCCGCGCCCGGAGAACCGCGTCCCCCCGCGCGGCCCTCCCTCGG